GGAGAAATATTTTGGCTGCTGAGATCACACCTGAGGTGCAAGGAATCTCAGTCCTCTGAGGTCAAGTACAAGACAAGGATAACCACTTTTTCCCCTTTTATTTAACAATGCAATGGAAGTCCTAGCCACATCAATTAGGCAAGAAAAATACATAAAAGGTATTCAAACTAAAGAGGAAAAATTAAAGCTGTCTCTATTTATAGATGACATGGCATTACATATAGAATACCCTAAATATCCTATCAAAAAGTGTTCGAACTGCCCTGGCCGGTTTGGCTCAGCGGTTAGAGAGTCGGCCTGCGGTCCTGAGAGACCCGGGTTCGGTTCCCGCTAAGGGCGCATACCTCGGTTGCAGTTTGTCCCCGGCCCTGGTCGGTCGTGCGGGTGGCAGCCACTCAATGTGTTCCTTTCACATCGATGTTTCTCTCTCTCTCTCTCTGTTCCTCTCTCTCCCTCCCACTCTATCTGAACAAAAAATGGAAAAATGTCCTCAGGTAAGGATAAAAAAAAAAAAAAAAGTGTTCGAACTAATAACTGAGTTCAGCAAAGGTGCAGGACACAAAATCTACATATATACAAAAATTAGTTATGTTTCTATATACTAACCATGAACTTTCCAAAAGAGAAATTAAGAAAACAATCCAATTTATAATTGCATCAAAACAAATAAAATACCTAGGAATAAATTTAATTAAGGAAGTTTAAGATCTGTACAATGAAAAGTAGAAGACAATGAAAGAAATTGAGGAAGGATAAAAAAAAATCGAGCCCTGGCCAGTTTGGCTCAGCGGTTAGAGCATCGGCCTGCGGTCCGGAGAGACCCGGGTTCGGTTCCCGCTAAGGGCACGTACTTCGGTTGCAGTTTGTCCCCGGCCCTGGTTGGTCGTGCGGGTGGCAGCCACTCGATGTGTCCCTTCACGTCGATGTTTCTCTCTCTCTCCCTTCCTCTCTCTCCCTCCCATTCTATCTGTACAAAAAATGGAAAAATATCCTCAGGTGAGGATAAAAAAAAAAAAATCCTCCAAAAAAAAAAAAAAATCGAAACATAGTTTGTGCTCATGGGTTGGAAGAATATTGTTAAAATGTCCATAATACCCAAAGTAATCTATAGATTTGATGCAATATCTATCAAAAGGTCAATGGCATTTTTCACAGATAATAAACAAACAATTCTAACATGCATTGAACCACAAAAGACTTCTACTAACCAAAGCCACCTTGGGGGAAAAAAAGAACAGATCTGGAGACATTACACTTTCTGATTTCAAATTGTATTACAAAGCAATAGTAATAAACACAGTATGATAGAAACAGACAAACATTTCAATGGAACAAAATAGAAAGTCCAGAAATAAACCCATGCGTCCTTGACTCCTTTGTCAAATTCTTTGTGACAAACAGCCATGAATATATAATGGAGAGAAAGTAGTCTCTTCAATGGTATTGGAAAAACTGGACAGCCACATGCCAAAGAATGGAACTGAACTCCCATCTTACACCATGCACAAAAATCACACTTAGTCATGCCTTACGAACTGTTTTAATGTATTGTCAAGTTCTTTCTGTTAATATTTTGTTGAGGAGTTTTACCTTTATGTTCATCAGTGATAATGGCCTATTATTTTCTTTTTTTGTAATGTCTTTGTTGGTTTTGGCATCAGGAAAACTTGACCCCATAAAATAAGCTTGGGAGTTTTCCTTCCTTTCAAATTTTTGGAATAGTTTGAGATAGGTGTAATTTTCCTTCAAATGTTTGGTAAAATTCACCTGTGAAACCATCCTGCCCAAAACTATTGTTTTAGGAGATTTTTTAAATTACTATTCGACTTTCTTGGTAGTAATCAATATGTTCATATTTATTTTCCTCTTTTTTTTCTTTATTCTTAAAGAAATCTCTTTTACATTTCTTGTACTATTGGTTTAGCTTTTCCTTGTCTGGAAAACTCTTTATTTCTCCTACAATTTTAAATAATGGCCTTGCTCGGTAGAATAGTCTTGAGTGTAGCCCCTTGCTTTTAATCACTTTGAATATTTTATGTCAATCCCTTCTGGCCTGAAAAGTTTCTGTTCAGAAGTCAGCTGACAGTCTTATGGGAGCTCCCTAGTAGGTAACTACCTACCTTCCTGTTGCTGCTTTTAAGATTCCCTCGTTTTCTTTATACTTTGTCATTTTAATTATGGTATGCCTTTGTTGGACCTCTTTGGGTTCATCTTCTTTTGGATTCTTTGTGCTTTCCTGAATTGAGTTTCTTCTTCCTTCACCAGGCTAGGGAATTTTTTTAGTCATTATTTCTTCATATAGGTTCTCAATCTAATGTATTCTTAATTTTAGTCATTGTATTCTTCATATCTGACTGACTCTTTTTTATGGTTTCTGTGTCCTTTGTTATGCTGTTGAAGTTCTCTCTCAGTTCCTTGAGCTTCCTCTTACCATTATTTTGAACTCTGTACCTGGCAAGTTGCTTACCTCTATCTCATTTAAATCTTTTTCTGAATATTTCTCCTGTTCTTTCATTTGGGGCATGTTTGTCTCCCCATTGTTGCTTCCTCTCTGTGTTTGTTTTCATGTATTAAGCAGATCTGATATGTCTCCCTATCTTGGTATGGTGGCCTTACATAGTAGGGTGTAGTGTGGTGCTCAGTGGTGCAATCAACCTGTTCACCTCAGCCAGGTGCTACAGAAATGTCCCTTGTGTGGGTTATGTGAGCGCTCCTCTTGTAGTTTAGTTTTTATTGCTGTTGGCACGTCCAGCAGTGGGGTTAATCCTCAGGCTGGCTAGGTATGAATATTGGCCAGGACCACAGTGTATGACCTACTGTGTGGGAGCTAACCTCACAAAGTAGTGTTTGCCCCAGCAGGTTCCCGTTATTGGCAGAGACCTCCTTCAGTATGTGCTTCTTGAGGAGCTACCCCAGTCATGCACTATTGCGGTCTGAAGCGAGCCACTGGATATATTGTTTCTTCCTGCTGTTCAAAAATTCATATTATCAGAGGCTTCCTTGGTTCCTTTTTGAATTACAAAGGCCCTTCCCCACCTCTTCTATTCCTCTTGTTCTGGGTTTGTTTTTGTTTTTTTCAACTAAGTTTAACTCCTTTTGACAATACTCCTACTTTATTTCTTGGCTCCTTGTCAGCCTTCCCCCCAAGATAGGCAGGGCTTTAGTAACTATGTCTGTAGGACCTGAAATAGTGATTGGCACACAGTAGGCCATTAACAGAATTGGGGATATCACTTGCTGTAATTGGTTTCTTTTCCTGTTTTCTCCAGACTACTACAAGCTACCACCATTTTCTTTTGAGGCTACAACTTCTAAACTCTGAGCATTAGGTCTTCTGTCTTATTTTATGTTAAATAAATCACACACACACAGTGTATGGTGAACAGGCATGAACTGACTCAACATACTACATCCATCACACCAGACTCAGTCATATCCTCATATTCTTCTCTTCACTCCTATGCTCAAGACAGGTCTCTCCACCCCAGGCCCTGCTCTCCTACTTCCGTTCCTGGCCCCTGACAGAGCAATTACCCCTAACATCGCTGTCTCTGCTGGGTCTTCCCAATTATCCTCTAAATCTGTCTCCTCGTCTCTGAAATGTCTTTAGACACTGGATTCCTTTCAGTCCACTAGCAGCTAAGCTCCCCACCTTCCTGCCTTGAATCCCAGCTCCTAGCAGAGGAGTCACAAAACTATATGCACTCTTTGAATTTTGGGTACTCCGTGAGCCATGGTCCCTGGCTTCTTTCCTACTAGTCCACTAACATTACCCTTGGAGTCTCAGCGTGCACCATCATACTTGGTATGTCTTGATGGAGACATATCCTAAACAGATAGAAAAATTGTGCTCTTCATTGACACATTTGTTCTTTCTACTGAAAACCATTTTTCCTTGAAACTCTCTATTAAGTTTTCTTTTGTGACAGTGCTTTCCACAAATCTGCCTTCTCATTTTCACTGGGTTTTTGGTTTTATTCTTTTTAAAAATTATTATTTTCAAACAGAATGGGAGGGAGAGAGAGAAATATCGACTAGTTGCCACCCGTACGACCCAGACCAGGGCTGGGGACCAAATCACAACCAAGGTACGTGCCCTTGACTGGAATCAAACCCACAACTCTTCATTCCACAGGCCAATGCTCTAAACACTGAGCCAAACTGGCCAGGGCTAGTTTTATTCTTTTTTTTTTTTTTTTATCCTCACCCGAGGACATTTTCCCATTTTTTTGTTCAGGTAGAGTGGGAGGGAGAGAGAGGAACAGAGAGAGAGAGAGAGAGAAACATCGATGTGAAAGGGACACATCGAGTGGCTGCCACCCACACGACCGACCAGGGCTGGGGACAAACTGCAACCGAGGTACGCGCCCTTAGCGGGAACCGATCCCGGGTCTCTCAGGACCGCAGGTCGACGCTCTAACCGCTGAGCCAAACCGGCCAGGGCTATTCTTTTGTTCTAATTTAAAACACAAAGAGACCAGGGATTACACAGGGTTGAGACACATCCCCCTCTATAGTACACCTCTTACCCACACACCAGCCAGTTTCTTGTCCATGAGTCTTTGCTCTCTCATACATCTTTGTATTTCCAAGTGCTTCCCTGTAACTATATTCATTAAAGCAATATAGTCTATATTTATTTCTATTTCTCTCTTTAGACTACAAGTTACTTGAAAACAGTCATTTAATTGTCTTATTGTCTAAGACATCACCTGAAACACTTATGTTCAATATAATTTGATAAACCCAATCTCCATGAAGAAAAGCAGTCACATAAGCTGGTTATGACTGAAACCGAATGCTCAACTTGCGTGAGCAATTCCATGAGTTATCTCCAGAACTTAAGACTTCCATGATTAATTAGAGAAATTTCAATTTCATACTCTCAATTTTCCTTCCTAAATAAGCAAGTAAGCAATTTTTAATTAACATTTTAGATATTTGGGTTGTGAAAGAAAAAAGAAAAACTTTAAAAAGTATTTAAAAATGTGTATTCTAACCTTGAAAGTTTCTTCTTCTTTGCTGAATTTTCAGGAGTCCTGGGCAACTTCACCTGTTTCTGGGGTGTATACAAAATGTTATCTGTAGATTTCACCCTTGGGATTATCCTTCTCTCCATAACCTGTCTTCCACCTGATCCAAGATCCATGTGGTAGTTGTGACAGGATTCTGAATCAATGGACAAGACATTCTCTGGGTCATCTTTATTTTCGCTATCTGATGAATACTCCAAGATTTCTGTAGAACTTGTCTGAAAAAATTAAGAAAAATGCAATTAAATTTGAAGAACTTATTCAAGTACATATTTATACATGCCTATTATTCTACTCCCTTATAATAAATAACTTTGTACATACAATATCTTAAACTCTGCACATACAGTAGTTTAAACTTCTATTTTGACACAAAGTATCAAATCATATAACCAAAGACAAGATGAAATTAAACCAGTTGCAAGCAGACATTCTCTCACAGAATCCACCAAATTAGGTACAAATATTCAATCTTCCTTCAGTAAACTAACTAAAATGTGCTATATAGTCAGTTGAAAACTGAGCTAATAACATCAATCTCAATGGCTGATGACAGTCACTATAATCTAATACCTATGAGGAAAAAAATGTATTTTGAAATTTAATGTGAGGTAAATAATATTCAGTATGTGTTATAAACCAAAGAAAACTGCCTCTAAGGACAAAGATGAAAACTAGACTTTTCCAGCACAAATTCAATATAATATTTTCCAAAGACTAGATTTTTAATTTTCTTTTTTTTATTATTGATTTTAGAGATAGAGGAAGGGAAAGGGAGAGAGAGAGATAGAAATATCGATGAGAGAGAACATTGATTTGACTGGCCACCTCCTGCATGCCCCCTGCTGGGGATCAGGCCCACAACCTGGGCATGTGTCCTGACCAGGAATCAAAACGGCGACCTCCTGGTGCATGGGTTGACGCTCAACCACTGAGCCAAACTGGCTGGGCCAGAGACTAGTTTTAAATTGCTAATATCATCAGGAACTATGTAAGAATATTAAGTCATTGTCTCTTTTTCCTAACATTTCTTCTTTCCCCTAGTCAAATTTCCAAACTACCAATATAAGATTTTGAAAACTGGATTATAAACAGAAACTCATAGCACATAAGCTTAACTGGAGAGGAGAATCAAAACTTTCTCCTGTGATGTTTTCTGTCTTTGCCCAGATACACACTAAAACCCTTAAGTGTGGTAGATATTCTATTTTCCCATCACTTGGTTTTGCAAGTCAGTCCCATATAGTTTCAATGCCAGCAAAAATTTATCCTTTAACATTCTAATTTTTCAGGGTATCTGTAGCCTCTACATTTTAAATTTACTAAATGTAAATTGTATATTTAGTTAAGTGGATGTTCTGTACCAGGATGAGGAGCCCTGTCTATTCTGATGGATCGACATGGACTGTGTCACTGGAATTGAAAGGGGCCTCTGCTAGAGAGTAAAGAGGCTGCAGTATGTAAGGGTTATCATGTGTGGGTGCGTGTGCAGGCGTGAGCACTGGTGCATGCAGAGTAGCACTAACATTTTCATCACTTGCTATCTATATAACACAAAGGTTTATCACATTTGGCCTTTCAAATGATTTTATAATGACATCCTTTTTAAGAGCTTAAAAAGAATGTCACCCATCACACATCTCCTAAAAAAAAAAAAAAAAAAAAAAAGTGAAAAAACTCAAATGAACAGCTTAGTTCCTCTGCCCTTGTCACAATCTCAATCGTATGCCTAAACTACTGGAGGCAGCTGCTAGCCCATTAACCTGCGCTGGGGTCACATGTCTCCCTTCAACACAGCTTCTGAATAAATATTAACAATAGGCCATAAAAACAAACAGAATAGCTTAGTTTGAAAATTAAGTTCCCAGACACTGAAAACTTTTATACATTACTTGATAACTCCAAATTTAAATTCTTCTGTTTTAATGAAATATCTTTAAATTTAGTTCCCAAAAGTTTTGCATTTCATCCTAGAACAGGGTTTCTCAACCTCAGGACTGTTGCCCTTTTGGGCTAGACAATGTAGTGGGGAACTGTGCACTGTAGGGTTGTTTAGCAGCCTGTTTGGCCTCTACCCACAAATCATGACTATCAAAAATGTCTCCAGACATTGCCAAACGAGTCCTGGGGCACTAAATCACCCCCAGCTGAAAACCACTGTCATAGAAAAATGCCAAAAAATAACCAACCTCATGTCACCTATGATAGAAAATCACATGCAGAAGTGAAGGGGACACAGCACTTTGTCACGATGGGAAGATCAGAAAGAAAAAAAAAAGTTATATAAAACATGACAGAAATACTATCATTGAAATATTGCTCAGAGTCCACGGCGAAGACATATGAGGAAAAACAACGCCGGTGGGACACAGGAGAAGGGAAGAAGAAAAACCTGCCACTTGAATAAGCTGAAAGCTAAGTGTAAGTTAAGTAGGCAGAAAGGAGAAAAGGAATTCCAGGGAAAAGGAATAAAAGGACCATAAATATGAGGCCGAAAGAACAGAGCTCATGCAGGAAATTCTACCAACAGCAGCAGAGAGAAGGCTGCAGAAGGGCCTTGCAGACCACGGGAGGGCGTTTGACTTTATTCTGAGACAATGGTGTAGCAAATGGCATTAACAGGGTCTAACAACAACAGATGTCATTATGGAATGATCACCCAAACAACACTCCAAAAAATTGTCTCTGATATGAGAGAGAGAAGGTACTCAAGCCTGTGGGTGGGGAAAGCAGCTAGCTAGAAGGATCTTCTTCCATAACCAAAGTAAGACATAAAGATGATGTGAGTGGTAGTAGGGATAGAGAGGTGGACTTGAAAGAAAATGAGGAAAGAGATAACAACACTTTGGGACTCTCGGGTGTTAGAAATTAAAGTGAAGGCAGAATCAAAGAAGACCCCAAGCATCTGGCTGGTGACACAAGTAAAGAGAGGTGCATTTATCAAAAAGGCCAATTCAGGAAAAACATCTGAAGAGGAGTGGCTGCTAATACCAAATGTAGTTTTCATGATAACACTGTGATGCCTACAGAGCAGCTGAGGTAAAACTGGTCTACAGGTCTGAAGTTTCAGAAAGCGATGTGGGATGAAAATATAACTTCAGGAATTATAAAAACAGAAACAGCGTGTGGAGGTATGAGAGTAGGAGAAGGCTATTCTTGGAAATTCTGTAAAAATAAGGAGAGAATGTCCAGGTTGGAATCTTAGAAATACCATCAACATTTAAGCAGTATTCAGGTGATACGAGACAGAAACGTGTTTGAATTTGAGAAAAAAAGAGATTGCATACATATAAGAAATCCATGGAAGCATGAAAATAATATGCTTTGAAGAATAAATAGTACAAAATGTTACAACAACTCTGCAATACCGTTTGGAAGTTTCTACAAAACTAATTGTACTCCCTACCATACAATGCAGCAATCATTCCTTGGCCTTTACCCAAAGGAGTTAAGGATTCATGCTGGCGTAAACATCAGAACATGGATATTCATAGCTTTATTCATAATTGCCAACACTTGGAAGTACCCAAAATGGCCTCTGTGGGTGAATGGATAAATAAACTGTGGTACACCCAGACATCAGAATATGACTCAGCACTGAAAAGAAAGAGCTACTGAGCCATGAAAAACATGGAGTGACCTTAAATGCATAGTACTAAGTGAAAGAAGCCAATCCAAAGAGGCTACATATTGTATGATTCCAACTATATGACATTCTGGAAAAGGCAAAACTATGGAGATAGTAAAAAGATCAGTGGTTGCCAGGGGTGGTGGTAGGGAAAGTAGGATGAATAGCTGGAACACAGAGGGCTTTTAGGGCAGTGAAAACTATGTATGACATTATAATGATGGGTAATGTCATTCATTATATGTATGTCCGTACCCAAGGAATGTATGATATCAAGAGTAAACCCTAAGGTAAACTATGGACTTTGGGTGATTATGATATGTCAATCTAAGTTTAACCTTGGTAAAAAATGTACCATTATGGCAAGTGATGTTGACAATGCAAGAAGCTATGCATGTGTGGGGACAAGGATTCTATGGAAAATCTCTATACCTTCCTCTTAATTTTAATATAAACCTAAAACTGCTCTAAAAACAGTCTTTAACAAAACAGAATAAATAAAAGGTGAAGTGAAAAAAGTAAACAACAAATCTTTTGGAAGTTTAGATATGCTTATTTTATTTTATTTTATTTTATTTTATAGAAGGGACATCATAAAAAGATACATTTGCTCAGCTACACATCAAAGAAGGTGAATGGTATTACAAACTTTAAGTTAATGTCATGAAAATATAAATGTACTCCAGACTCTAGTATGTCCTCCAATCCCAACAACAAATTTCCTCAGTGAAGAATTTAATAGCAGTATGACTGGTAAAATGTTATAGAAGCTTACGTAGTACTTTGGAAGTTTTTACCATCAATCCATGACAATAAATTTTAGGTATTGTTGGTTTAGGCCGTCACTTCTTTAACAAGTACTAGCTAATAAATAAGAATCTATTGGATGGCTACTAACCACATGGTATCTAAGCTGCTATAGTTAATACAAAGAAATTTTCAAGTCTATCCTTGCTCTTGCATACTTACATTACAATCAATTTCAAAACTGAAAAGTAAAAACTAAATTAAAAATACAAAGCAATTTATGGATAACCCGATACATTGTATATGCAGCAGATATAGGAATAGAAAAGAAAGATCATTTGGGGCCCAGAAAGTCTTTAACCAATAAAGGCAGAGTCAGATGACATTGTCCCAGGGTCAGCCCGGCCCTTCACTATCAGATTTCCTTGGCAATTTACTTTTCTATATCTTTGCTTCCTTATCTTCAAGTTGGAGATATGATAATACCTGACACATTAAGCATTTAGTAAATGTCAGCTATCATTTTTCAACCCTATAGTAGTTACTACAAGTATTTTGGGTTTTAAATTTTACATTTTTTTTTTTATGAATTTTTATTTATTTTTTTGTTACAGATATTTTACCTTTTTACCCCATTTGCACCCCCCACCCACCCCCCTCCACCCTGTCCCCGGCTTAGTTGTCCATGTCCATTGGTCATGCATACATGCATATAAGTTCTGTGGTTTATCTCTTCCCACCTCCCCACCCCCCATCCCCTCTTCTGAGTAAATTTTACATTTTTAATTCTATATTATATTTTGGTATTTCTAAGAGGATCTCTATAAAAGGACAATGAAGAACAGGACAGGTGGAGGCCTCACTGTACATCTCCTTGGCAAGGTGCACGGCCTTGCTGGTTAAATGAAACCTGCAGGCCCAGCCAGTATGGCTCAGTGGATTGCACGTCGTCATCCCATGAACTGGGAGGTCCAGGTTCAATTCCCAGTCAGGGCACATGCCCAGATTGCGGGCTTCATCCCCAGTACGGGGTGTGCAGGAGGCAGCCAAGATCAATGTTTCTCTCACACTGATGTTTGTATCTCTCTCTTCCTTCCTCTCTCTCTAAAAAAAAAATCAATAAAAACATATTTTAAATGCACCTGCAGGTCTCAGGTCCTAGAAACAGCCAGGAACTCCAGGGCTGTGAGCTCCACAGGGGGTGCTGGCAGCCCTGAGCCGGACCCAGGAATGTGGGATCCTGTGGGAAGAGTGATGCCTTCCATCAGTCCACAACACATAGCTTCATCATCATGGGTCCATAAGGTAACCTGGCCAAGAAGATCTACCGTACCATATGGTGGTCCGGGATGGCCTTCTGCCTGAAAACACCTTCACAATGGGCTATGCCCACTCCCGCCTCATGGTGGTGGACATTCTTCAAGGCCATCTCAGAGGAGAAGCCCAAGGAGTTCTTTGCCCACAACTCCTACGTGGCTGGCCAGTACAACAGCGTCCTATGAGCATCTCAACAGCCACATGAACTCCCTCTGCCGGGGATCACAGGCCAACCGCTTCTTCTACCTGGCCTTGCCCCAACCATCTATGAAGCCATCACCAAGAACATCTGAAAGACCTGCATGAGTCATACAGGCTGCAACTGTGTCATTGTGGACAAGCCCTCTGGGAGGGACCTGCACAGCTCGGCTATCCAACTCCATCTCCTCCCTGTTCTGTGAAGATCAGATCTACTGAATGGACAAGGTAGATGGTCCAGAACCTCATGGTGCTGAGGTTTGCCAACAGGATCTTCAGCATCATCTGGAACCAGGACAATGGTGCCTGCGTCATCCTCACCTTCAAGAAGCCCTTTGGTACTGAGGGCCGAGAGAGCTACTTGGATGATTTTGGGATCATCTGGGGTGTGATGCAGAACTACCTGCTACAGATGCGTGTCTGATGGCTCTGGAAGAAAATGGCCTCCACTGACTGAGAGGACATCTGCGATGAGAAGGTCATGTTGAAATGTTTTCTCAGAGTGAAAAATATGGTCTTGGGTCAGTATGTGGGGAGTCCCAATGGAGAGGGCAAGGCTGCCAAAGGGTACCTGGATGACCCCATAGTGCCCCATAGGTCCACACACTACCACCTTTGCAGCTGTTATCCTCTTTGTGGAGCACGAGAGGTAGGATGGGGTGCCCTTCATCCTGCGCTGTGGCAAAGGCCTAAAGAAGCACAAGGTCGAGGTGCATTTGCAGTTCCCCAACATGGCTGGAGACATCTTCCAGAAGCAGTGCGAGTGCAATGAGCTGATGATACGAGTGCAGGTCAACGAGGCCATGTACACCAAGATGATGACCAAGAAGCCCGGCATGTTCTTTAACCCGGAGGAGTCAGAGCTGGACCTGACCTATGACAACAGATCACAAAAACATGAAGTTCTGCAATGCACAAGACAGTCTCATCCTGGATGTCTTCTGTGGGAGCCAGATGCAACTGGTTCACAGCGATGAGCTCCGGGACGCCTGCCTAATCTTCACACTGCTGCTGCAAGAGATCGAGAGCCAGAAGCCCCAGTCCATCCCCCTCTCTTATGGCAGCCAAGGCCCAGTAGAAGCAGATGAGCTGACAAAGAGAGTGTGCTTCCTGAAGGAGGGCTACTGGCAAGTGGGTGAATCACCACAAGCTCTAACCCCGGGCCCCTTCCCACCTTCCCATCGCCTGACCCCACATGAGAAGGACTTCAGGATCATAGGCCTCAGCCTCACATTCCTGGCCACAGGCCCTGCTACATTCTTCAATCACCAACACTGAACACTCACATGTGACTGTTCCCAGCCACCACTGGCCCTGCCTGAGCTAGCTTCTGTCTGTGAGACCGAGTCCCAAAGGAAGGAAGAAGAGTGGTCCTTCCGTTTGTCCCAGATTCCTCGGCCTAGGTCAGGAGTTAGGGACAAGGGGTAGGAACAGTGGGTGTGAGCAAGCTCCTCAGAACCTGGGGAAAGGGGGCAAGCACATCCACACCAGCCTCAGGGCCACTCTACATTCCTGATCACCTGCTGGGGGTAGAGGTGATTCCCATGCTGCCCAACAATCCCCCATGTCTTGGGTCCCCTGAATGTCCCTCTGCCCCACCAGTCAACTCTGTGCTCCATGGCCCACCCCACCCACAGGCGCCCCCCCCCATGCTACTAGAAAAGCAGCAGCAGCATGTGGGTGCTCCACCTCAGCCCCCTGCCATTAAATCCACTGACAGAAAAATAAACAAACCAAAACACAACAAATAATGTTTTTAACAGTCAATCAGAAAGACAAATAATGCCTTAACTTGCAGAGCAAATCATGTGTTCTTCACATAGGAATTTCTAACAAGAAAGAAAAGGCATAACAAACACATTTAGAAAAAGATAACTAGAAGCCATCATTTTAGGATACTATATTTTAGAACTCCACAACTCAAGATGAATGTGGAGGAAGTCTCCTCACATGGACACACAGAAGAACTACAGCTGACCAGAAATCAGCTTTTGGGCCCCAGCCTGGCAGTCAAGAACTCATCTTCTTTGAGAGAGAATGGTGTGTGTGTGTGTGTGGGTGAGTGTGTGTGTGCACATGTGCGCGCACGTTTGCCTGTGTACAGATGTGGGTGCCGGGAATGGGGAACAGAAGGGGGAAAAAAATCAAAGACAGGTCAGAGGACCCTGCAGATTCACAAGCTCAGATTTATCTACACTTTATCTTTATACTGTAATATCAGACTAAGGAGAAAGAAGAGCTATAGGTTTTGGAATGAGAAAGACCTAGTTTTGAATCACAGTGCAGCTCTTTGTTTTGTGACTTTGGACAAGTTACTTTGCTGACTCTCCCATTCCTCAGTTTAACCCAAATAGGAAAAATTATTTAGCAATATTTTAGGAGTTACAGATACTGACTATTTATTATTAAATATTTCAAACACACAGAAAAGTATTTTAAAAATATATAAAAATGCATAGACCCATCACCACCCTATCATCCTTCATCAAATATTAACATGATACAAATTTTGTTTAGTATCTTTTTAATGATGCAGTTGAAATTGCTTGTATTTCTTTTTCTGTTTCCATGTTCTTCCTTCCTTGAGGAAACTCTCTCCTGAATCACATTCTGTTTTTATTTTTTAATCACACACATACAAATATTGCACAGTATTACTTTGTAAGCTTTCATATTTTATATTAAATTATAAAATGGTGTCATCTCAACACAACCCTTTTCACCAATATTATATTTGTTATATTTATCCATGTTCATACACGTAGCTCTATTTCAATGCTGTCCAATGCAAGAAACATACGTAACTTTAAATTTTCTAGTAGCCAAATTAAGAAAATAAAAGAGGTAAAATGAACTATAGTAACATATTTTATTTAACCAAATATATCAAAATACCATCTTTTCCTTCTGAGCTCTCCTGAGAGTGACCGTAGCAGGCCCTTCACGGCAATCTCAGCGTTTGCTCCTGAAACTCTTCCAGCCTCTACCCATTACTCAGTTCCAAAGCCACTTCCTCACTTTAAAGTATTTGTTACAACAGTACCCCACTTCTCATACCAATGTCCACCCATTGTCTGCTCAGGTTGCCATAACAAAAAAAACATAGACTAGACTGCTTAAAAAACAGACATTTATTTCTGTGGAGGTTAGGAAGGCCAGGATCAAGGTGCCAGTCAATTCATTTCCTGGCGAAAGCTCTCTTCCTGTCTGGTGGATCGCCACTTTCATGCTGTGTCAGAGAGAAACAGAGAGAGACACACAGAGAGTCTCCCTCATGTCTGTTCTTATAAAAGCAATAATCCCATCATGAAGGCGCCCACCTCACCCAATCATTTCCCAAAGGCCCCACCTTCAAATATTATCACATTGAGAGTTTTGGTTTCAACATATGGATTTGGAATAGGGTGGATGGGACACAACTCAGTCTATGGCAGTCTTCTGACACTTTTTAATTTTTATCTGACAGGTATAAAATGGCATTTCATCCTTGTTTAAATTTGTATACCATGATTATTCATAGGGCTTATCATCTTTGCACTTGTTTATTGGCTCTTCAAATTTCTTCTTCAGTGAACTGCTTATTTCTATACTTTCCCCATGTTTCTAGTAGGAGAGACAATTACTTTTTAATTACTTGGATCTGTGTGTTGCAAAGATAGAACGTCATCAGAAAATTTACAATTTAAAAGTGACAGGAATACAAAATAATACTGAATGTAAAATGTAACTGAAATTTTAAAAATAAATAAAAAGTGACAGAGGAAGAACCACTCCATAAAATTGACATCCATTCTAATATCTTTAAAAAGTTTCCTCAACCGCCCTGGCCAGTTTGGCTTAGCGGTTAGAGCACCGGCCTGCGGTCCAGAGAGTCCCGGGTTCGGTTCCCGCTAAGGGCATGTACCTCAGTTGCAGTTTGTCCCCGGCCCTGGTTGGTCGTGTGGGTGGCAGCCACTTAATGTGCCCCTTTCATGTCGATGTTTCTCTTTCTCTCTCTCTTCCTCTCTCTCCCTCCCACTCTATCTGAACAAAAAATGGAAAAATGTCGAGTGAGGATAAAAAAAAAATTATTTTCTCAACCAAAGACATTTTAACCATTATTATTACTGGTAGATTGCCGAATGCCACACAGTAATCCAATGTACTTGGGCAAAATTATTTTTCCTTGAAAATTTTTATTCTATACCAAATCATTTTATCAGAAATTGGATTACTTTACTCCAATGCTAGATTTCAAGTACCAAAATAAAGATTTAATTTTTTTTTCTTTTAAAACACTTATATTTTCCAATATTTTCTCCTGTTTCCTTTGGACAACTAAAGAATGCTACCCCTTTAAAATTTTCATGTAAGATTACTTCATTCAGGTATACAGTCCAGTTATAGAAATAATACATTAGAATAAATTAAGATCTTTGATAGCAGGAAAAGTATTGCAGTAGTCAAATTCACAGAGTCAAACAGTGACTATGTAGCTAAGATCATAATTTGCTAAAGTTTAAAATATAATAAAATTATTAATATTATGATTCTTTTTCTTCAATGGACTTCAGAACTAGGAGTCTCCTAAATTAGTGATTACATATCACAAACCACAAGATTACGATATGAGCAAGGAGTAGTTCTTGTGAAATCAGTCACCAAAGGCCACGACAACATTCTAACCTGTCTGTGGCTGAAGCCACTTGCAATAAAGTGTTCAATGTTGATTGAATTTCCAAAAGTTAGCAATACTGTATGCGATGGTAGACATGTGTCATAATTTATTCCTGACTCTTCTTTTCAGGGCACCATCCACCTATCCATGGAGAGGACAGCCTGCAACCTCTCAGCTGTCACAGGAGTGGCCTCTCATGTCTAAGCAGCCATGTGTCTATCATAATTGGCCTAAGGTAGACAATTATTCAAAGCTGAGCCAATCAGAATCATTTTCTTCAGATTCTAAATTAGAGATACAGTGTCTGAGAAGCGCAAGCTAAGACACACTAATAATAAATCTCTAAATGAAAGATCCCAAGTTTGTGCTTATGAGGGTCCCATAGCTGCCCTGAGGCCCAGCTTACCTTCCACCTTTTAGATTCCTCAGGATACACTAGCATGAATCCAAAAATTTCATCTTACTCTTAAACTAGGTAGATTTGTTTCCTGTTACTTGCAACCAAGAAGCTTAACCTATGTGCTAAATATCTCCAAATAGAGAAAATGTTCCATTAAACAATTATTAATTCTGTATGCACTATGTGTAAGGTTTAATGCAAGATAGAAATTTAGTGAGACATAGTTCCATAAAGAGCTTGAAATCAAATAAAGGAGATGCTTTAAGTATGGCTCACACTAAATGTTCCGAATGGGGAAACAATGAAGCCTTTATTTCTGGCTAATCTGAAATTAGCAGACACACTGGAAGAAATAAAACCTCTACTGGGTTTCAAAGGACTGGAAAATTATTAACAGATGAAGATGAGAACAGAGAGAACAAAGCATATAAGGCAGGAAAGTACAATGGATACTTAAGATACACAGACAAGTCCAGACAAATGAAAATTTAGAGTGCACATTAAGAAACAGGAGCCCTGGCTCAGTGGTTAGAGCGTCGGCCTGCGGTCCGGAGAGACCCAGGTTCGGTTCCCGCTACGGGCACGTACTTTGGTTGCAGTTTGTCCCCGGCCCTGGTTGGTTGTGCGGGTGGCAGCCACTCGATGTGTCCCTTCACGTCGATGTTTCTCTCTCTCTCCTTTCTCTCTCCCACTCTATCTGTACAAAAAATGGAAAAATATCCTCGGGTGAGGATAAAAAAAAAAAAAGAAACAGGAGACAAGCCCGGCCAGTGTGGCTCGTGGTTGAGCATTGACCCATGCACCAAGAGGTTGCCAG